AATAAAAACTATACACTATGAACTTTCATTTAAAACCATGCACAAAGCAGAAATCTGAACAAATCAGATAGTTTTAGTTTGATGAGTCAGAAAACAAAAGAAACCAAAATCTTAAACATCTAAGATGTAAAAGATGGCTCTTATGGGGTGTAAGTGGAGTGAACGCAGTAAAGCTACGGAGATTAATAACTACCCCCACAAGCAGGCACGGATATTTGTCACCCAAGACTACAAAGAAAAGAAAGGGAGACATCCGACAAAACAATAGTGAATAGGCTTTTGTAAAGCTTTCACAACTTTGATGTGTAAATAATGGGGGAAATGCATTCCTTACCCTAAAGGGTTTTAAATCCTTTCACTTTAAAATATATTTTGTTTTAAAAGGAAAATATTTAAATTGTCAGTTCCTACGAGCTATTATCAAAAATTGCAGAAGTGGTGCCTGAACTTCAATCAGTCAAAGGATGAGTAAAACAAAATAAACCTACGGCCTGTGTCTAATTAACTGCAAGTCCCAGCATAAAAGATACTTGCCCCTAAATGCTCGGAAGATAAACGCAAAGGTTGTATAAACTTGGACCTGGTGCTCTACTCTTGCTCTCCTTTTACTCTTTGAACATTCTGCTTAAAACAAGACCACACTGACCTTGTACTTGTGTGTAAGAACAAAATGAAAATCATTTTCTTTTATCAGTAGTTTCCAAACACAAAGCCGTATTCCTAAGTGATGGCCTATAAATTACTATAAACAAAAATTGAAACACTAGCTTCAGGCCATTTTCCATTGTTTCAATCTGCAACAGAAATGGTTACAAAGCCAACCCATGAAGCTAAAAATTTAAGAAAAACCAGCTAAACAGGGGCTTCCAAGAGAGACTGGAGTACCTGAGTATCCTTGGTAGGTTCTGCGTCAGAGCTGGCACACCGGTAGAAATAGAAAAGTGCACAAGCAGCAAAACAGAGAGAGATACTAAGATAGCAGAATTAATGACCACCGCCCCGCCAACAAAGCCAAACACAAACAGCAGCATGCATCCGGGACTCATGGCGCTGTGCTGGCATGGTGAAACACCCGAACCAGGAGGCCTACACGGGGGCCAAAGGGGTATCTTTGTAGTGAGGATCTGTCATTCAGCTGCTGCCACAAAAACAATGCCATCAGCAGCAGCTTTCCACTCCATCCTGCAGCAGCTCCCAAGCGATGACGTCATTCCCCTCTCCCCACCTCATAACCATAGAGCTGCTGCTCCTAGCATTTATGCAGCGACCCAGAGCGACAGCCAGCCTATTAACTGTTTTCCCCTCCACTAAGAGTCCTGGCTTAGCTTATTGGCTACAATGTCTGGAGATCTACATAATTTATTCACACTCCTACATCAAACAGATGGCCGGCTAACCCTTTCAAACATGCCTCTCTGTAACAAAACGGACTTTAAACCAAATTATACAGGAGAAACGAAAAATTTCAGCATTCCCACAAATTAGAATGTTTTAAACCTAGCATAGTCTCCACTAAGTATCAGAAAACAATCAAAATACCTCAATATGTTGCTTATACGGCATGGCTCACAATGTGCCTTTTTAATAGTGAAGGCTGTTTCTATTTTTCCATGCTATTCTCTCCTGTAGCATTCTGCCACAGTGGAGAGCTTTTTGAATCAGCCTAACTATTGTTCCAGGATTAAAGAACAGAGAAAAACAGAAACAAACAGATTATTTATTTTACTTTTTCTCAAGGCAAAATGTATAACAAAGCTTACCTAATTCTACTATGAGCTGCGGATTCTAGTTGATCACTCCCTGAGAGCTGATGAAGTTTTGTTCTTTCTAAGTGTTCCATATAATTATGAATCATCTATTTTAAAGAAAAAAAAATACACAAAATTTAAGACTAATACCTGGAATAAAAACATAGTGTTATAAGAAGAGAAACATTTCTGTATAATTTTCTTATTTATCAG